ACCTAGAAAATACTTAATAATGTAATGAAAGATGAAGAGAATCATTATCACTGCTTTAGTTACCTATTGAATAGAATTTATTTGATGATTTGGCAAAGAAAAAATCAAATTGCCATTTAATATCATATTATAATAATTAGTTTTTAAAAAACGAGGTTATAATGAATTCCAGTTGTCGCCAAACGATTTACAATTAAGTGCCCTACGTGTCACAAAATATTGGAGTCTGCGAAGACTGACTTCCATCCTCCATACAAATTTGAACCATCTCCTTGGTCCTTACAATAACGAACACGAACAATAAAAAAAAACAATTTGATGCAGTCGATCATCAAATCATTTAATAATTTGAGTCATCAAATTTATTCACCGATGTAAACATAACACCACCATCGTCGTCTTCTATGTGATAAAGGGTGTGTACAGACGTCCTTTTCCATATATTTTTAATTCAACGTATGTTTAGCTAACTGTAAATTCAATCTGAAGGCACCTAAATGCTGGTAATTGCTATGGGGATGGATTGTAATAAGCTGTGATAATGTAAGTCCTATGCGTGATTAAAGTGTTTCATACATGTCATATACTATTGTGCCACCCTTTTTATATAAAGAAAAAACCTTATATACTATAAACTCGTTTATAAAGGTCATGTGGCACTGACAAATGATTGAGAGTTGACATAATAACGAAACCAATTGTGTACTTATTTATTCAACGCGTTGAATATTTTCTTTTCGAATTTGTTTCAATTGGATGTTTTGGTTTAATCTCACATAAATGAATAAATAATGGTATTTTAAGCACCACATTGTATAAAATCTTCAAATTTTGTTTTTTTTATATATATTGCTATGATGATATTTAAATGTACCTATCACTATTATTTGGAAATATGATAAAACAAGTATCATAATTCACTTTACCCACTTTTTCGGTTGCTGTACCTATTTACGCTTCGCTATTGAACGTATTCTGATTAGATTATTTTCGGTTCGCTGTATGTTTGGAAATGGCATTGATAGATTATAATATTTGTAGCACGTAGAGTTGACATAACATATCCTATTGGATAAAATCCCCTCACAAAAGTCGGTGCACGAGTAGCACTCGCACTTACCCAGCTTTCTCAAAAAGTGCTTGTACGTATGTAATTTTTATTTTAATATGTGTAATACATCGCCTTTTTGCCGATTTTCATGTCAACAGTAACTTACTGAAAGGTTTTGATTCTGTTGCCAGCGTCGAAATATTCCAAATAAAAGGTCGTCTGTTTTGATTTCATTGACTTTGAAGTTTGATTTTCTCCCTGCTCCATGGTTTATAGACCTGTGTATTCGTTTATAATTTTGTGTTTATTTTTCCACGCGTTCCTGACAAAAGGGTTTTCAAAAGAGGACAGATGGAGAAGAAAGATAAAACAAATTAATTTATTAAGTGTGTAATGGAAAATGCCGAGCGCACACAAAATTAATGTCAGCGAGACTGCAACCCGGACGGGTATCGGGCACACACGTGAGGGCACACGTCATTGCCAGTGGTCGTGTGGAGAGCGCTTATCAGGGAAAATCTCTATTGCTAAGACTCCGCTGTCCGTCTGTCTGTCTGTCCCCTAGGTGAATTTAATGAACCGTGATAGCTAGATCGCTGAAATTTTCACAGATGATGTATATCTGTTGCCGCTATAACAACAAATACAATAAAATAAATATTTAAAGGGTCTCCCATACAACAAACATGTTTTTTTGCCGTTTATTGGTCTATATATTGGCAACAGGTAGACGCTTGAAATATTAACAGAATATTTAGTAGAATATTCACTTTAAAAATGAAGAAATAAAATAAATATTTAAGAAGGACTTCCATACAACAGACGTGATATTTTTGCCGTTTTTTGCTTGATATTATTATAAAATGTCCAATATTGTATAGATAACGGTACGGAACCCTTCGTGCGAGAGTCCGGGTTCACTTAGCCGGTTTTTTAGAATGTTGTGATGTACCTATATTGTTGGAGATTTCACGTTGCATTGTCAATTTGATTTGAATCTTTCTTTGGTTATAAGTTAATTTGATCATGAGCGCCGGGAGTTAGCGCACTCGGCCTGCGTACGTGGAAGTTTTCGCAAAGGTCGGTCATTGGATGGGTGACAAATAACTTATTATCTCGAGCCACTCCGTGTTTTGAAACATTAAGCCGTTGGTCCTAGCTGCATCTGCAGTCGTTAGCAACCACCAATCCGCACTAGGCCTACGTGGTGAGTCACGGCCCAATCTCCCTATTCCATTCATACCTGTACCTACCTGAAGACCTGTGCCCCTGCAGTGGAGCCATTAGTAGGCTGATGATGAAGGTAATTTAGTGATATTTGATTGTTTGGCGTCGAGTCACAGTTACATAGGTATACCAACAATACTTAAGAAGTTAGTTATTAAAGTTAAATAAAAAAAGTTTATTATTATTTTTTCAGTTTTCCGGCTGTGTAATTTTAATGTTATTTTTTATTTTGTAGCTATAATATTTGTTAAACACAACTCAGCATAAAAAACTGTGAGTGAACAATAAATCACTAAAATTTTCCAACCTTTAGGGTAGGATTTTGCAAATTCATATGGGAATGGTTACCAACTTCGAGGTAGTTATACCCTATCCAATAATGAGGGTAAAGTTATGTGAGAGAAGTTCTAATTTTGTACAAACAAAAAATATTTGGAATAAAGATTTTTTTTTTATAAAAAAATAAAAAACTGACCAAGCCCGAGTCTACTCTCGCTCTATTAGGGTTCCATAAAATATTTTTTTTCTTTTCGTCACAACTTAAAAAGTACATTATGAATCGGAGTTTTAAATACCTGTTGTTTTTATACAGCATATGAGACATCATATACTAAAATTTCACATATTTAACTAGTTTCGATTTTGACAAAAATGGTCTAAAAATGGATAACTTTGACGGTCCCATTTTCAATAACAAAAAAATGGTACTTAGTTTTTGAAATAAAAAAACCTTCTGAAAATTAATTAATTAAATTTTTAACTAAATATTCTTCGGCAAGCATTCTACATAAAATACATAAAATTCGGTTCTGTAACTCATTCTGTTTATGATCTAGAGACCCGTGCCATACGGACGGACAGACAGACAGCACTTCCGGTTTTCGAGAAATCACGTGATTTCTATTTCAAACGAAACCACACAAAATCTCCGAAGCTCTCAATTAATTAAATACATTTTTTTTTTTGGTGAACATTTGGTTCACTGGTTTGCTAGTTAATTATATTTGTCGTTTCTGAATACGGCCAATCTTATCTAAAAGGCCACATTTTTAGCTCTCTTTCAAAAACGGAATTCACTTAATTTGTGTAAGTAAATTCTTATGTTGTACCTAAGCATTAAATTAAGTTTCGTGTTTACGCAAACAAAAGACGGTCGGGTATACACAGACATCATCATCTCGTGGTAAACTAGCCTCGGTTCATTTACAGTAAAATGCTTCGGGTGGTAATTTGCACCAGGTAAACTGAAGGATTGCTTACGTACTCTTGTAACTAACTTGTTAAAGGTTGGGTAAGCAGTCAAATCTTCGGTTGATTTTATTTTCTCTGGTTTTTATTTAGGTAGGTACGGTAAGGGTTTTAATAGTGTTAGTAGACTTTTTTCACTATGGTCTTTAAGATAGACGTTGCTCAAATTTGAGTATATACAAATATATATGTAAAAACCACAATACCTCACTTAAATAAAGTTATATTTATCGCCACATCCCTAAAGAATTTACCAGACCCTAAAAGATGCACCACTTTGAGACAGACAACTTGGTACTCATAAACAACCTTAGGTTATGAGGTTTGCTATTTTAAGTTTAACCCACATAAGCACATAAACGAACGTAGTTGATAAACTTTATCTATTTAAGGTGGATATAATAATTAATTTTAATTTTGGTGATTTTTATGATTTCTAGTTTTATAAAATCTTAATTTAAATTTGAAAGTCTTAATTAAGGAAATAAAATCTAAATTGTTTTAAAAAACAAGTTGTCAAAATTACCTTACATTACATATCTAAAATTTAGATTATTCTGAGCGTGTCGTCTGCCATATGTTATTTGATTTGCGTTTAATATTTTAGGATTTTTACGGATATCTTCCATCCAACCCGCCAATCTGCATTGACGACGCGTGGTGAGTTATGGCCCGTTATCGCTACTATTCATTATATATAACATTATATATGAAAGGTCTTTTGATGATGAACATATATGACTTTTTCAATTCTATTCTATATAATATCATGAGCTTTCTGTAATTCACTATACAGAGTTTTAGAATCTACTTGTTTTATACGAAATATTCAAAGATAACACAAGTTAGTCACGTTCCTAGAAATATTAGAACAGTTATGCTAAGTATGTTTTGTATCCTGAAAGTTCGATACAAGAATGAAAGTTTTATACAAAAAAATTATACCAAACTAATTTCAAAATTCTCCACTAGATTCCCTAATAAAAGATGTTTAGGAGTCACCAGTACTTTGATATTGAGTTAGTCAGAAAAAAATGTTTAAATATTTTATTAATATATTAACGAAGTAGGGTTAGTTGAACGACTTGACTGATAAATATTAGGTTTTTTAAAATGTTTCATTTAATTTCATACAGTTTGCGTGTCATTTATGTATTTACTTTGCAGCCCGTATACTTTTTACCTTTAAGTATTTAAAAATCCATAAAAATATAACCTTTTGTGAATGAATACAAAAGTATTGCAATTAGAAACACATTCCTTTTCATAGCCTGTTATTTCTGGCTACAATAGCAGTGGTTAACAACCACCTATCAGACCGGATATGGCCCGGTATTTCCATTCAGATAAGGGGTTAGTGTCTCGAAAGGTGTTTTTATTCGTCCAAGTTCGGAAGTGATATACAAAATAATATCTCATTAAATGTTCATGATCAAGGAGTTTTTATTTATAAATCACAAAAAGATATACTTACGAACTGTTGCATCAGTAGAACTCGCCAACAACCAATCCAATACAAGTATGACTAGGAATACTTTAACGTTTTTTAGTAAACTCAACTGATGTCGATTATGCATATTTATATTTTCATTTACATTTAACTACTAATAGACGATCTAAATTATCATTTTAGTCATTGTTTTCGCTAATCCATTAATCCCACGTTGGGCGCAACGTAGGCTTCTTACAATTTTCACTAATATTAAATGGAAAAGTTTGATTTAACTCATTAACACGGAAACGTAATATTTACAAAAGCATTCAAAAATGAAAAATATGATATTCGGATTGCATATAAATCAAGCAATTTAGTAATTAAGGAGTTTGTCGAAATCGACGAAGTGTAATGATACTGTTTCCGGTACACCGTGAAAAGTTTTGTACGCGACAACCCCGAAGGAACCGACACCACCGTCCCGGACGGCTCTTCACAGGCTACTAATGCAATAGGCTTTCTTGCATCTGCCTACGAAAGCGCCACCCCTTTTCGCTATCTCCGTCCCTTTCACATAAGCACGCGTACAATTTCCTAAAACAACCCCTCAAACCTTCTGATTCAGACTTTTGTTATTTGCTAACAACCAATTTGAATACTACCATAACTTGATTAAGTAAAATTTCAGATTTTTGTTATTTGCTAACAACCAATTTTAATACTACCATATCTTGATTAAGTAAAATTTCATTTAATGATTATAATTATGTATATACGAAATCTATGATAGCAAAACATTATTAGTCAATTTATTATGTAGTTATTAAACTGCTAGATTAAAAAATCTGTGACATATTACCAAAAAACAACTATATTAGTTCACTTCAGAACTTAACACTTACTAATCGTAGTAACTATTGTGTTTTTGTCAGTGAGTGAGTTCCAAGACTCCACGGGTTAAGGAATAGTGTATGGATAGGCAATAGTGAGCGAATGTCATTTTTGTATTGCTAGTGTATATAGGCTATCATGGCCGCCTACTACGAGGCGGACTGTAGTTATTATTTTGCTTCCTTATAAAAATATATATAAAAAAATTGTGTGTGTCAGCTCCGACGCACGACTGGAGTTTAGGTACTCCTTAAGTTCGATAGTCTAACCAGACGCAAAAAGAGTTTATTTAACTTAAAAAAGATTGATACTGTATGAAAGGGTAAATTAACAAATTAATGAAAATAATATACATATATAAATATATATTTATTCCTTTCATATACATTTATTATAACTAATCGACGAAATATTTTACATTAAACTTTTACAACAGTCAATTTCAGATGTGCATAAATATATCATTAGGAATGTTGATAAATTATGTAATTATTATTATCAGACTATTATCATTTTTTTAAATATTAATTATCAACATTGTCTGCATTATTAATTACAGTGGCAAGTGATTTATGGTAACTAAAATAAGACACATGGACGGTCGTAGATACGTGGTTCACGAATCTTGAAAATACCGCATCAATGGTTGAACCATACCTCGTTGTCCCCATTGCTCTATCAGAAACAATATTTAAATTCAGTTCAGATTTTAAAAAAAATATTTATGTCAATCCGTCATCTTTGTATGTCAAAGTTGCGCGACATAGGATGCGCACCAAAAACGTAACGAACGTATTCATCGATAGATTTTACTCCACACATTTTTTACATACCGGGCCCCTTATATATGCCAATCAATTCTTAAGGAGTAAACTCCAAAAACTACTCTGTCGCATTTTGAATAACATTAGCTCTTACTGTTTAGGAGACGAAAGGCATAGAGGATTGTCACTCGTTTTAGGGAATTAACCTTCACCTTACCGAAAACCACAGTAAAATGAAACTACTATTTGATGGTTTTGTGTTTCTGTTGCTGAGTAAGGTTCGATGGCTTTCAGGCGGCAACATTAGGATGGCTGTAGTGCTTCACCCACTCCTGCGCGTCAAAGCTTGGTACTAAAATTAAATGCACTAAAATTTGCGTTCGAAATTAGAATTTTGTTCTATCATAATAAATTATCCAGTTGCGTATCTATAGACGATAGACGATAGCTTAACTGGCAATTTTTGACACGCATAAAAGAGGTTGTGGTAGACGATACATTTTTATATGCAGCTAAAGGAGCGTAGTTACAATGGAACTTATTAAAATTTCAAGCAAATTTTAGCGCATTTTAGTACCAAAGCTTCGTTACGTAGGTGTAGGAGAAGCATAACGGAATCTGTTGCATCAGATGTCTTCTTAACTTGGATTCCAGTCACACTTTAAATCAGATCAGGTAAGTAGATTAATTTGCCTTGTATAAAATATTTTTTATTAGAACGCGTAGTAATTCATACAAACAAAAACAAACTAAAGTCAATAATTATATAATTATGTGTACTAAATTATGTATCAATTCTACCCAGACTTGATTTTTCCTTAATTCTCCCACAAGGAAAAGTCTCAAAGTAGCCAATAGTTTCCTAAGTAGTAAATGGGCCATTATATACTACTCGCATAATTAATGATCATTTATTGAAACATCGTGGTGCTAGTGGTTTCCAAGAACTACACTGCGTGTTGAGACTTCAAAAGGGGAAGATTGACATGCTGTAATCGATTTTTATGACGCTTGCAACAAACACACTCGGGCACTAAATATTGGTGGATTCACACCGGTAACCACAAAGCCAGGAAGCCGTGTAAATGCTCACAATGCTCATTATGGACATTGATTTTTCTAGGATATTTAATAACAACCGTTCGGTCAGTGCCGTGGAACTGATACCTTTGTATTTCATAATGATAACGTTTACTTTAAGTATATGACAGTATTGGGTAAAGACTTTTTATTTATTTTAAAGAAACAACTTTTTGAAAACATGCTGTTATTTTTAAAAGTATAAAATAATTCACTATTAATTTCGTTATATCTTAAGTACTATTCTACTCGGAAATTAGTTGAATTGAATATAATGTTTTTTTTACGATTCGGCCTAAAAGAGACATCGGAACTATTCTACTAAATCTCCGCTTTCTGTCCGTCCGTCAGTGAGCGCGCTGTATCTGCAGAATGACAGTGGTTGCACAAAATGTTTGTTTTTAATGCCATTATGACAACGTTAAATAAAAATGTAATAAAGTTCAAACTTTAAGGGATATAAAACATTTTTTCGGCTTTATTCAATTATTGTTCGGCTGTATTGCATTGAACGTTCGTATCCTGTCTGATACCTGGACAGAGTGTAATTTTTGCAAGTAAAATTTGCTTTGCATTTATTAAGATTTTTCAGTTTAAAACGGTGTCGAATGGTTGAAATTATTATTAAGGTCATTTAGCCATCACTTTGTAGTAAAATAAACTTCATTGTAAGTTTCCTAATTGTACACAAAATGTTTCTGAAAAGTCCACTAATTCTTACGTCTGACCTAAACGTCAATTTAAAATCCAATTCTACATATAGTTTAATATTGTTTCCCGGTAATAATAATGTCCGGCTGGTCGGCGCCACTCGATTGAGTTCTGCGAATGGAGGGTATTTCCTTGCAACTCCCCTAGGCCACCATAGACGGCCTTAAGGTACATTAATATTTATACCTTGATACGTCACTGATTCGCGTTCGTTTTGTGCGTCTACTAACAGAGAAATACTTAATTGTATCGATCTACGTAACTTTATATAACTTTTATTTACTCTTTACATTTAATTTGAATATCTTCTGTCCGCGTGTATGTCATTAAACACCTTATAAGTGGCTAGATTGTTTTTGTTTTTGTTTTTGAACAAAGTGAAACTTCTTTAGGCACGCTTGACTTGGGGGGTAAACTGACGAATGTGTTACGAATTTTGCGTTACGATTAGTGTCACCGGTGACTCGTCGGTAAACAATGAACAATACCCGTCACAAAATACATGAATCTAATCTAATGCTTGGTGGGTAATAACGGGCCCAGTGCGGATTGGGGGTGATAACGTACCCAGCGCGGATTGGTAGATGACAATGGACCCAGAGCGGACTGGTGGGTGATAACGGACCCAGCGCGGATTGGTGGGTGATAACGGACCCAGTGCGGAAAGATGGATGATAACGGACCTAGTGCGGATCAGTGGATGATAACGGACCCAGCGCGGATTGGTGGGTGATAATGGACCTAGTGCGGATCGGAAGGTGATAACGGACCCAGCGCGGATTGGTGGTTTTTTTTCTATCAACAAATCTTCAGGTTTAGTTTATGATTTTAAATCATTGTAGCTAAAGAAGTTTCACTGCAGTCGTGTAGTCATAAACACACTCCCTTTTTTTTAGTGTCTATGTATCCGCCTCCGACTCCTCCCACGCAGGCTACAAACACCAACACTACACAGCTAGCAAACGTGCACACTAGCTTAGCATTAGGCAGACACCGCACCCGTAGGATGAGAGTGCGAAGACCCGGTCTACACACGACACGCTATACCAGGTACAGGTACGTACCTGGGCGTTTTTCCCCGCCCCCCCCCCCCCCCCACACGACAACGGCTAACTAGAGCCGAGGTCCGAGTCTCAGAGACGCCCTCTAGTTGAGCCGACCCCCTCAGGTTCGAGTGGTCTGGAGGCTCCAGACGGAGTGGAGACTCCCCCCGGGGAGACGCCATCCGACTGGAATTCCTCCAGAGGCACTCGCCAATTCTCGGCTTGAGGTCCCCTTAGGATCTCGCCGTCCCCAAACCCGGTGACGCTGTAAAGGTCATCTGCGACCAACAGCATACACACTCAAAAAAAAAAAAAAGTCTATGTATTTTCATCATCAAATCAACATCTGAAGTCCATAGGTATAATAGAAACCTATGGAGTTCAGTTAAATTCTGATGAGAAATATACCATTTTACACCGTCTTTATTCACGTTTTATATGTCTTACCGTCAAAATACTTAATGTAATATAATAATGTACTTATATAATTTTATAAAATATTGAAAAGTTACTTTTCGTCTGGTAAGAAAATTGGAGAAAAGTGATCTCTCTTTGGATCTTACACTATAAGGCCAAGAATTCATATTTAAATCATGTTTGCTGTCAGGTTTAACTTGATTTAACTAATAAATAGTTATATGGTAAAATAATGACTTCAATGTAAAATAAAAATGGGTGCGTGTACTTATGTAGGCGCGTGAGAATTTATCCTTCTTTGGCATCGTTTAAAATTAGTTTTTAATTGCATGCAAATAATTAATTCCAATAAATTAATAAAAAGTCTGGAAAAGGACACAGTCAATAAAGTTCAGTTTTAATTTGAAAAAATAAATAAATAATCAAAATATTCAATTAAAATCGCTACTGAATATAATTTATTAGAACATATGTGATTTGCACTTGTATGAAACTCAAACACGTATTCCGAATATACAAACTAGAACCATGTGGATAAATATTATAAATATGAATACCTATAACTGTTAGTTTATTACAAAAAATAA